AGTTGTAGGTGGCTGAGTTTTCCCTGTGTTCTCATATGATTGAAGGGAAAAGCGATCATTCTGGGGTCTCTTTTATCATGACTCTAATCTGCTTCTGTAGGGTAACAGACTCTAGTCACATTTTTAAAAGTCCCATCTCTAAATACTGTGACACTGTGAATTTAGGGGCTGGCACAGACATTATTCAGTCTAGAGGAAGTAAAGTCTTCAAAATGGTAGCTGTTCCATTCACCCTTTACTTTATGTCACTGCAATGGGAACATGTTATAGAAAGACCATCAGCTAACTCTCAAATTCTCAATTATTCTTAAGATATAATTTTAAAACATAGTATTTGTTCACTGAAAAAATACTCCCCTGTCTATTCACACATTAGAATTCTAGTGTGATTACTTCTGATACTACCTGCCATTGAAGACATCCTATTTCAGATTATATTTTCCATGAAAGACTCTTAATATCATTTTTATCAACTTAGTGTTCTCAAATGACTTTAAGTTTTTTCAATGTCACAGCAAAAAAAGGTTAAGTCTCATCAATCTCAAAATTATTTGTATCATACTCTGTAATATATGGCCATGCAATCTCCCACCATTCTTTCTAAGACTGCTTAATTTCCACATTTCATGGTTTATCCAACTCATATCCTTCTGATCACATTCACCTCATTCTTTTCAGTCAAAACAACCCCTTTTTTCTGCTCAATGAATTTCCATATCTGATCTTACATAACTATGGAAATCCAACCTGGTCCAGAGACCCAGTGATATGCTATATAGAGAGGGAAGCCACAGCAGAGAAATTCACGTATAGTTCCTGTGTGTATAGGGAGAAAGGTCAGTGTAGGGAGAAAGGCAAGCGACTCCATTAATAGGTAAATTTCACAATTTCCATATGAGGTTTCAACTCAAACAAATCTATTCCTTTAAAGCCTTTCCTTTATCTTTGTATGATGAGTTAATATCAGAGTTTTTACTCCTGTAGAAAATATACAATGCACCTGTCTCGAATGGTGACATACATAGAGAAGACTAAAAATATTATTAAAGTTGAGGGAGATGGAGAAGAACAGAAATATGGCGTTACTGACTAACCTGGAAAATACAAAAAAACACAATTTTCATTTTATCCAAACCACTTCTACCATCCCATGCCCAGAGGCACTCAAGCAGCAAGGATGCAGAGCTTATATACACTGCTGTGAAATGTAGACTTCATACAACAGCCGAGGTATATAAATATGCAAATCATAGATGCATACAGAGACAGCCTTCCAATTGAGAGCACCAGCTGTCAGAGGCAGCAAAATCACTCCAAGGACTTGGAATTGGCGAGTTGGCAAATACCCCTTGGTTATTGCTGTCCTATCAATCACAGGCCATTTGGCATGGCAACATTCTTGCACAGGTTTTCTCTTCCTTTTAACTCAGTTAAAGAGCTTTTAAGGTGATGAAATATGTTACTATAAAATTTGATCTGGGTGTCTGTTATAGGGAACACATTGCACATCTTTGGGCAAACACTCTTCTGTATCTCATCATTCTTAAAAACAAAAAACAAAAACCAACAAACAAGAACATCAAACCATACCCAAAATACAAACAAAAATATCAGGCGAATGTTTTATTTGTCTTTTTTAATGAAAAAATAGCCAAGATTTGCTGATATGGGTGACGAGTAATGTGTGGAAATTAATAGCTTGTTAATTTGTTTTTCAGAGATGGTGGGAGTATGTTGAGTTCTCAAAGGTGAATAACGCATTTAAAAAAGGAACACGGAGGAAGATGAAACGATACATTGACAAAACCTGTATTACTACAAAGTCTATGAAACTTCATTTTAGCAGGGGATTGATAAAAATGGTTTACAACCATTGAGACACTTTGAGAGAAGTAAATATGTCATTGATTTTAAATAGTAGTATTATCCAGCAGAGAGCAGATCAATGGAAGTTGCATAGGTTTTCAGATGCTTCAGGATATTAAAGAACAATCCCATTTCCCCCTCCATAAACCATTTCATCCGGAAGAGTAATTTAAAACCTACCATAAATCATTAGCTGCTCAGCAACCAATCAGCTTCCAGAAAAGTTCTCTTTCCCATTATTCTACTTTGGAACAATCAGAAATGCTCTCATTTTACTAACACATAGGCCTGCCTGACCAGCACTTTCAACTGTATACATGCTAGAAAATAGTAAGTATTCTTTCAGATTTAATATAGCAACGATGAGAAAAAAAAATGAGTGCATTTTTAAAAACAATTTAAGAGTACTAAATGATTTTTAGTTAGGTGATGCTTATTGCATGCTTGTATATGAGCTGGTAATATTTACTGTTGTTTCAAGAGTGTGAACATACAGGTAATTACAAAAATTTTATCCATCCAGAAGGTAGAAGAATAAAGAATCGTAATGAATTAAGACTCAAATTTTCATCAGTGGTTTCAACACTCTATATATGACCCCATGAATGTTACTCTTAAAACGCAAGATTATCCATTATTTTTTGACCTTTTCACTTTCTGAAGTTTGATGTCATTTTAAAAAAAGAGAATGAAAAGGAAAAATAAGGCACATTGTAAGCATTGTGAGATTTTGTGGTAGTAAAAGAACAAATAGCTTGGTAATAAAGTAGATGTAATGTTGTAGGAGACAGATAAACATGCTTGTAATGTTTGAAAAGGAAGAACTTGGTCTTGGACAGTAAACTCAGGTAAGCTATGACACACCAATTTATACCGTTTTTGTTAGGTCACATTTTAGAAATGCCAGTATGTACATTATTTTATTTGTCTAGTTTATTTCACTGAACATCATTTCCTCAAGATCTATTTATTTTTCTGTGAAGAAAAGATTTTATTACTTTATAGATGAATACAATTCCAGTATGTATAAGACATGTTTTTTTTAACCACTCGTCTATGGATGGGCATCTAGGCTAATTTTATATCTTAGTTTTTATGAAAAATGCCTCAATAAACATGGACAAGGGGGCATCTTTTTGGTAGGCAGTTCTTATTTCCCTTAAATATTTACCCATGAATGGGATAGCTTAATTGTGTGGTGTCTTTGTTTTTAATTTTTGAGGAAACTTGGTACTGTTCTCCATAGTGATTGTGCTAATTTACATTCCCTTCAACAGAGTGGAAAAGCTTCTTCTCTGTATGCTCTCTCATCTGTAGAAGCATAAAAAATAAGTCAACCGGAATGTAGAAGCATGATCACCTGGGGTAGGGAAGGTTGTAAGGCCAGAAGAGTAGGAAAGGGGATGTTGAATTTGATCAGTGCCTGTATTATGCAGCATGTGTAGAAATATCTCTAGTATTTCATTAATATATGCAACTAATATATGCTAATTAAAGCTAAGGCTTACTGTACACAAAAGTACATGAGAACCAATTATCATTCCCCTCCTTAAACCTTTCAATTAATTTCTCTCACAATTAAAACATGTACACAATGAAAAAATAGCAAAGTAAAGCCCTAACCTGGATATGCTTCAGAGGCTCTGTGTACCTCAGCAGTCTCTCTTGTTGATCATTACTTTTGCCCACCATATTCCAATTCACAGCCAGTGACTTTCCTATGCTTTAGTTCTGCCAAGAACCCACTTTCTCACGCTCCATGCTTGACTAACTCTATTTTCACAATCTAGAGGAAGAGTTTGATTATTCAGGATCTAATGTATGTACATAGGAAGATATTTTGGAGGCAAAATTAGTTTTTATCAGAGTGCGATAAACATGAAGTGACTGATGAATACAACAAAATGCTCATGAGTTTTTTTCCCCCCCGGGGCTAGTATTTAGAAAAATAGTTGGCAAGCTTGGCAATGGAGTCTTGGAATCAAACTACAGAGATGTTATAGTGAAAGATGATGTCATCAATGAACAAAACCTGAAAAGGAGAAGCAAAGGCAGTTTTGATGAAATATAGAACTATGAAGATCATACAACTAAAGGAGATCAAGTGGGCATAGTTTGAAAGGTAAAAGGATTGTCAGGATAATGTATTATCTCAAGAAACAATGAGAAAAGAAATTCCAAAACATAAAAAGGAACAGTACTTTTAAAATAGTGTTCTTAAATAGACATCAAAGAAACTGGCTTAACTGTGGTTCTTTAAAAACGAATGTTTAAAATAGGAAATATGTGAAGACTAAGAAAAGCTGTTTTCACCAATTAAATTGCAAATCAAATGATGAATGAAGAGATTTACTGAAAACATGAGCATTCAACTAAGGTTAACATGCCTTTGTGGTATACTCAACAAAATGCTTGAATATTTCACTGCCTGGCAACATTTTACACTCTTTAGATCAGAAAAGAAAGAAAATTATAGCAACATCTATCCAGGTTATGGTAGGCAGGCAAAAGAAGCCAGCAAATATTGAAAGGAACATCTACAAGATCTTGATTGGTAGGCTGAAAAAAAACATTAAATTAGAAGTTTTATGCAGGGAAAATTCTGGAATTTTGAATGGAGGAATAGAAAAGGGCTACTTGCACAAAATCTGTCTTTTGTTCCTAAGACCTTGCATCCCGTGTGAGGAATTAAAATTATCAAATCTCTTTAAGAATAAGTGTATGTCTTCAAGTACAGCAATTTACTAACTTATGCTCTACTCATTTTACAATTAATTTATTAATTTGATTTTCCATAACAAAGAAAAATGAATATGAATATTCATGGCAGAGAACAGTGAAGGATTAGCATAGGAAAAACAAATTCAAAGGAACAAAAAAGAAGAAAATTATCACTGAAAAGTTTTCCTTTCAAAAAATCATAAGTGTATTATTTTAATAATCCTTATTGAGCTATAACACACACAAAATTAGAAACTAAATAATGTAAAATTTTACCAAGAAAACCCAAACCCCCCAAAACCATTACATACGTTCTTTTGGTATATTTCATTCTATTGCTTTCTCTAATGGAGTGCATATAAAGTGAGCATGTATCGACTGGAGTTTATAAAATCGATGCTATACTCTTTTTTTTTTTAATGGAATGCTTCATCAGTTTTCATATCATCTTTGTGCAGGGGCCATGCTAACCTTCTCTTCACCATTCCAGTTTTAGTATATGTGCTGCCAAAGCAAGCATGCTGTTATACTGTTTTGGAAATGGCCATTTCATTTAACCATATATTGCAAAGACTTTTATCATTTAATAAAATGGCTACAGAGCTGTATACCTCCGAACTTTTGTTTGGAAGAAACACACAGTATCTTTGGCTGCCTTGTGTAGAAAGGAACTCATGAAATTCACATCAGTGAGAAAGTACACATCCAGAATTAAGCTGGAAATCACATGGCAAGGGTATGGCTGCTGCTGATGCTGAACAGGAGACGCTGTGACCTTCATCAGCACTGGTGCAGCCCTGGATCCAGGCCTTAGTGACATAAGCACTTCCATATAACCCAGTGCTCCAGATGCCACTAATGACTTGAATAGGTTCTCTCAGATTCTGAATTTCTTGTATCAACACTGTCTTCTTAATTATCCTGACTCTGAAACATTGCAATTTTAAGGCCTAGATCCACGGCCAGGTCCTAATGTTGAGAACAATTGGATTTTATTTCAGGTTTTACAGTGGATGGTAATGTCTGCATGTCACCAATACTGACAATGAGAGAAATTTCCAAACAGAAAAAAGAGGTTTCAGTGGTGGGCAGCTAGTACAATGTGCATATTAATAGTTTTTCTTATGAAATGACACCAGGGTAGCGTCTCAAATCTTTATGCTGAATATTCAGAACATTTTTCATACTTTTCTTTAAAAATAATTCCATGATGACCACTTTATACATAAATCTGCATCTGCATTTCAGGTAATTTTATTTCCACACTTTCACAGAAGTGGATTTACTGGGTCAAATGATATAAATATATTATAAAACTTTGATAGACATCTCTACTTTACCCTAGGGAAAGTTTCCACTAATTTATACTCTCAACAGGAAGATATGAAAGCATCCATTTTCCTACTGACTTGCTAATTCTAGCTAGCCTCATTTAGTTGACTCTTTTTCAATATTACTCATTCAAAAAGAAATAACAATTTATTGGTATTTTACTTCATAGCTCCTTGATTACTAATGTTGTTTGAATGGTTTTCTACATTTGTTATTTTTCTGTGTCCTCTTATAAACCGACGATTTACATCCTTTGACAAATTTTAGTCATAATTTCTTATTGATCTGATGAAATCTATGTATTTACCATATCATTGGTTATATATTTTATATCTTATTCATTTGATCACTTCTCTTAATTTTACATACTGTATTTATATGCAGGTAGTCAAACAATTCCATTGTTTTTTGTTTTTGCATTTTTCACTTACTTTCAAGCTATAGCAGCCTTTCTCTGTTGAGATATATTACTTATTGATATTTTCTAGCCATTGTCTTTATTTCTAGCTTTAAAATCTTAAGAGAACTGACATTAATTTTGATAAGTGGCTGTTCGTAATAAACAAAATAAATAACAAATCTCCTTTTCTTCCTTAGCTTATTTACTCATTACTATTTGTTATGGTTGGAGATGTAGCTCAGTGTACAGTGTTTATAGAAGACCCTGCATCTGATGTTCATCATTGCCAAAAAAGCAATGTGACACCATTTGTTAAATCACCACACATTTTTCAGGATTCTGAATAGGTTTTTATTCCATCTGACATGATTATATCTGGTAGAATTTGGTTTTCTTTTAAAATTGGAGATGGAACCCTGGGATTCATAATGTGCTGATTCAGTGTTGCTCTGAGCTGTATCATCAGTTACTTATTTATTCATTTGAGACAAGGTCGCACTCTGTAGTTCAGGCTGGCCTCAAACTTATTATGTAGCCCAGGCTTATCTCAAATTCACAGATATCTTCCTACCTCAGCCTCCCTTGATCATTCTTTTTTTTTTTTTTTTTTTTTTTTTTTTTGGTACTGTAGATCGAACTCACGACTTCACCCTTGCCGGGCAGGCGCTATGCCTCTGAGCTAAATTCCCAGTCCTGCCCCCTTAATCATTTTTAAAGCTATAAATATTGTTTTGTTTTTAATTTTGTTTTTTTTTTTTTTTTAGATATAGAAATAGATGTCTTCCTCCCTATAAAACGTTGAAGATATATGCGCACTCATCCTGTATAATTTAATAAATGTGGAACAGTTTCAACACAGAAGCTTCTAAAATAAATTCTGGATACACAAATACTCAATTTATTGTGAGTCGGTTGTCATGTTTACATTTTAACATCTTTTACAGTTTTAATGTTACTTGTTTTGCCATTCAAGGATTGTTTCATTATATTAAGTAACATGAAAGAAAAACCAATAGATGACCTGTCCTTTTATTCTCTTACTTCACAACATTGTTTAGTTAATTTTTTTTTTTTCTTTTTCTATCGGTGCCGGGGATCAAATTCACCACTGCTTGCTTGCAAGGCAGATGCTTATGCCGCTGAGCTAAATCTCCAGCCCCACATTGTTTAGTTAGTTAACTCTCAATTTTTTGTATTTTTTCAGCTTTAAGAATGACAATTAAAATATTTTATATGTTTATTATAAATAAATAATAAAACTAGTATTGGTTTTATGTTTTCTCAAACAACTGAATAGGATATCTGTTATTCATGTTAATATTTTTTCTCAGCAATTTAAAGAATTTGTTTAGCTACAAGTAACATTTTCTTCAGATACTGGTAAAGTTCTTTCTTTCTCATAACTAAATTTTTGTTTTTTATTTTTCTGTTCAATTGCATTGGCCTGAATGTCCACACTGATGCATGTAATACTAACGATTTTTGTCTTCTGGCCTTACTCCTGACTTCAGTTATAGTTGAGTTTCTCTATCTTTTTCGTGTGAAGAAATTTATCCTCTATATTTAGCTGTCTAAATTTGAGTATTTAAAGAAATACAAACCAAAGTTGAATGATGCCACCTGCATCATTTTTAATTGTTATTATGATTTTTCCTTTGACTTTTGATTTGTTTGTAATGGATTTTTTGTAATGGAAGTTTAGTGGGCACTCAGTGTGACAGATGTAAACCCTATCACTCCACTGAGACTCACTCATGATTGAGTCTAAAGGAAAGCCACTCCAAGCTAGGAAGTTTTCTTCACAATGCTTTCTTTTGTGTCTTTTTAAAATTTCTTCTTTTTAGTTTTCAATTTCAGCAACTTATTTCTCAATTTCTTCAAGAGTCCGAGTCTTGAAGGGCTGGTCTTGCCACCTGACAGCAAGTTCAATGTTTTTGCGCCCTGACTGACCCACTTCCAGGAGTGCCTTGATTGCCAGCTTGATGGTCAGATTATCTGTCTCTATTCTGTGGAAGCCACTGAAACATTTTACTTCATTAGTGACTAGTTTTAAATCCTGACATCTGACTTAAGTATTATTGTGTGTGTGTTTTATTTTATTTTGAAGTATTTTAAATCTATGGAAAATTTACAACAATAATGCTAAGAAAACAATTGCCACATATCCCAAACATTACACTTCAGTTTTGTTCATTAAGCCATCCTTTTTTTTCTAGGAAAAGAAAATATATATATATATATATGTGGGATGAATTACACCCAGTTTTCATGTTTTTCTTCTCTCCTTCAATGGTTGCTGTAGAATGTCCTTAGTATATGCTTAAAGTTTTCCACTGACCAGGTACCTGAAGGAGGACTGTCAGAAGTGATGCTGTGTTTTTCTCACTGCATCCTATTTTCCAGCACATGATGTCAATCTATGTCACTGTTGGTAGTGTTGGCTTTGATCACTTGATTAATACGGTGCCAGTTAGATTTTTCTACACTTTTTTCAATTTGTATTTAGAAATATTTTGTTTGGAGATTATATAATTTATTTTTATTATTCATCTGAAAGAATCCATTTTTTTGTATCATTTATTTCTGTGAAGATTATCAAATAATACTCAATTTTAATTATTCCTCCTATATTATTAGTTAGCATTTTACAAAAGTAATTTATATTCTATTTATCTAATAATTATCATATAATTTTATTATATTATACTATATTGGAAGCATTTTTCTGATACTTAAATCACCCCAGACTACTATACTTGGTTGGTAGAAGTGTCTTTTAAGCTGGCTTCTGTGTATATTGGCATGCATTATTATGCTTTTAAAAAACTTTATTTTCTCCTACCAAAGATGCTTCAAGTGCATATTGCTCCTTCCTTGTCCTGCCCCTGAATTAACCATTTATGCAAATAATCCTCCTTCTTTTCAGTGGATAGTGATATTCTAAAGCCAACACCTGGATGCCAGGTACTAGGTCCATTTAGTACTGGATGTCAGTGTCAAAGCTATGAAATATAGTCATGGTTTCTTTTCTTTTTTCCTTTCCTCTCTCTGACTAAAACTCATGAATACACACAAATAACTCCAATTGCATCCAAAACAACAGCATTTATTTTAGTTTCTTCCATCATCATATTTATATCTCCCTTCTTCAAAAATGTGAACGTGATTCCTACTATCCTCAATATATTTATGTACTTGCTCAATTCTCTTGAATATATCCAGTATCTCTCTGGATTTCCTCCATATTCAGTTGCTTTCTTTTATGGACTTAGCAAGGCAGATGTAGATAGGTAGGTAGGTAGGTAGGTAGGTAGGCCAATAGATATACAGATAAGGATGCACACAGAGAGAGACAGCATATATATACATAGCATGTCTCTCTATATATGTATGTGTGTGTAATTTTTCTTGAGATTTTAATCATATTAATTAAAAATTCTCTTTAGTATTTTAGGAATATAGTGTTTTACATAATATATACTACAAATGATGATTCATAGTGACTTATGGTATAGTATTTGAAAATTTTTTGAAAGTATAGATATCGTTACTTTGAAAGTTAAGATAAATTCCTAGTGTAAAATAGGCATATCTGTGAGTAGCTAAATATGATATTATGAAAATATAAGTAAAAATAATTTGCTGTGCAGACTAGAGATAGTTATGATAACTAGCAGACTCAAATCTACTATGGAAAAAAATCTCCATTTTTAATATTCCAAATGACTGTCAAATTTTGAGTATAATGCTTTAAGATTCTTATGAGTGCAATGATTAAAGATTT